AGAAAATACTATAAAATATTACTAGTGAGTATTTATCTCTGAATTATGGGAGGGCAGAGATCTGTATTTTTTCCTTTATAATTTTTAGTTATATTTTTCCAATTTCTCTAAAATAAGCACGTGAAGGGGCACCTGGGTGGCTCAGTTGGTTAAGCGTCTGGCTTCGGGTCAGGTCCGGATCTCACAGTTCGTGGGTTCCAGCCCCACGTCGGGCTCTGTGCTGACAGCCCAGAGCCTGGAGCCTGCTTTGGAATCTGTGTCTCCCTCTTTCTCTGCCCCTCCCCTGCTTGTGTGCTGTCTCTCTCTCTCTCAAAAATAAGCATTATAAAAAAATTTTTTCAAATAAGCATGTGTTACTTTTAGTTTTTTAATGGTTACTTATTTATTTTGAGAGAAAGAAAGTGCAAAAGCTGGGGAGGGACAGAGAGAGCATCCCAAAGCAGGATCCACGCTGCCAGTGCAGAGACCGACGTGGGGCTCGATCTCACAAACCGTGGGATTACAACTTGAGACAAAATCAAGAGTCAGCCGCTTAACTGACTGAGCCCCCCCCCCCAGGTCCCCCAGTATGTGTTACTTTTAGAATAAAACATATCTATGAATAATATCACTGTACTAGATTCCAGAAAATGTAGGAGGTAATGTAATGAATATATTTTTCTAAACAATCCACTTACTTTTCTACCACAGTGCTATATGGTACAGAAGCAACATTCAGATTAACTTTATAAATGTCTCACAGGCAAAAGAGGCTAATACTAGATATTAATATATTATTATAAAATTGGAAGACTGTGCTCGGTATAAGCACACATTTCTTTGATAAAGATTTTTTTTAATCAAGCAAATACATTTTCCCAATGTATCTTTACTAAAATGATATGTTCTCATAGAAGTTTCTAATTACTTCTCTCTCTAGATCTCAGCTTTGTAAAACAAAATTTTCAGTTACTTCTCTACATTCCATTTTCTACAAGTGGCCAGGATACCTTAAGAATTCAATTAAAGCAGGGATGGGGGGGTGAGGGGGGTGAGGGGGGGTGGGGCACCAAATCAGTTGAGCATCTGACTTCAGCTCAGGTCATGATCTCATGGTTCGGGAGTTTGAGCCCTGCCATTGGGCTCACTACTATCAGCTCAGAGCCTGGAGCCCACTTCAAATCCTTCGTCCCTTCCTCTCTCTGCTCCTCCCCCACTCACACGCTCTCTCTCAAAAAATGAATAAACATTAAAAAAAAGAAGAAGAATTAAATGAAAGGGGTGCTGGGCTGGCTCAGTCGGTAGAGCACGCAACCCTTTTTTTTTTTTTAATGTTTGTTTATTTTTGAGAGTGAGAGAGAGAGAAAGAGAAAGAGAGAGAGAGAGAGAGAGAGAGAGAGAGCATGAGTGGGGCAGGAGCAGAGAACGAGAGAGACCCAGAATCCAAAGCAGCCTCCAGGCTCTGTGCTGTCAGCACAGAGCCCAACATGGGGCTTGAACCTACGACTTGTAAGATCATGACCCGAGCCGAACTAGGACGCCTAACTGACTGAGCCACCCAGGCGCCCCTGGAGCATATGAGTCTTGATCTCAGGATTGTAAGTTCGAACCCCACATAAGTTATCTAAGTTTAGAGATAACTTAGAAATAAAATCTTAAAAAAAAAAAAAAGAATTAAATTAGAATAAGATCTCTCTTAACAGGAAGCACAGTCATCACTTATGTATTTACCCTTCAGAAATAATTTCCCACCCTAGGTGTGAAAATGTCCATTTTAATGTCAATAGCCACCAGACATTCTGCAAATACTGTACAAGGCTTTAATTTCCCCCATCCTGAGGAGGGGGAACCAGAGGGCACGATCTCTGATACAACCACCAGGATTTTTCTCCTACTTGAAATATAATAATTAGAGTCTCCTCAAGGCAATCAATCTCTTCCTCTTGATAACTTGCAAAAACTTAACTTCGTTATGAATTTGTACACACTTGGAAGTTTCTGGCTAAGCAAATGAAGAGCGACAGAGTCTCCTTCGTCCCTACCGTTTAAACCACAAATACTGTTTCCTTCATGGTGAGCCAAAAGGAAGTTTGTTTTGTACCCTCTTGTAGTATACTTGGTTTTAAGAGTTCTAGATTTCCGAGGAAGTGAAAAGTCATACATGTAGACTAGTTCCATGGATTCCAACAAAAAGATCATAAAGAAGACTCCAATGACAAGAGGTTGTGACTGCCGTTCAGTCTCCGTTATACAAGGTCAAAGCTTTGGCTCTCCATAGAACTTACTTCCAAGACTTCATCCACACAAAACCACAAGAACTACAGGCAGCTGGGATACCCGAGGGTACAAAGAGCCCCGTGTGACTTTTGTTCCGCTGTGGGAGCCCTTCGGAAACCCTGGGGTGGAGGGGAGGATTAATGAATCAGAAGTTGGTAAGGGCCAGGGATGACTACAGCCCTCCATTCAGAAGGGTCCACCAGGCAGCCACGGTGGCAGAGCCCTACTCTAAGGAGAGAGCTTAGCCACTGCCAAGCACCTTAGATCTAAAAGGCTACTTCCTAGGGAATCACCCAATTATTTCCAATATTTTATCATCTCCAACCCCTTTTACATAAAACTTCACGTAAAGATCACATATGTACAACATGTCGAAGTAGAACTGCTCTTAGTGGGGAGATGAAGGCGTTAGAGACCCAGCTGCTGAGTATCCATCCCCCTCCCACACGACCCAGTCTCCCCAGCAGTGGAGCCCCTTCCATACACAGTTTGAAACGCAGTGACTCCGCATGCCCCGAGAAAGACATGGAGAGGTATACGGAAGGTTGATAACGGCAATCATCTTTCTTTCTTGTGGGGGCAGGGGATGCCAAAGAATGAAAGACAGAATAGGGGCGCCTGGGTGGCTCGGTCGGCTAAGCGTCCGACTTCAGCTCAGGTCATGATCTCACGGTTCGTGGGTTCGAGCCCCACATCGGGCTCTGTGCTGACAGCTCAGAGCCTGGAGCCTGCTTTGGATCTGTGTCTCCTTCTCTCTCTGCCCCTCCTCCACTCACACTCTGTGTGTGTCTCTCTCTCAAAAATAAACATTAATAAAAATAAAAAATAAAGTGCTCCTTCCTTTGGGAAATTATATGACTTCTCAAGAGCTAGGTCAAACATGGTTTTCCTTAGAAAGCCCTCTCTGATTTTTCTAGAAATCAAGTTCAGGGGCAAAGTATGAATGAAAACATATGGCAGGGACTAGGAACAGACCCTTCCCTGGCATGTTGCCCATTGAAATCCTGGTGGACATGGGCACCTGGGTGGCTCAGTCAGTTAAGTGTCTAACTTTAGCTAAGATCATGATCTCATGGTTCATGGGTTCAAACTCTACATCAGGCTCTGTGCTGACAGCCTAGAGCCTGCTTCAGATTCTGTGTCTCTCTCTGTCTCTGCCCCTCCCCTGCTCTCTCTCTCTCTCCCAAAAACAAATAAACATTTAAAAAATTTTTTTTTAAATAGCAACAGTGTGGTACAAATACAGATTACAAGACTATATCTACAATATGTTTACACATCTATAAAAGTAAATATACATATAATCAAGTACTAGGTGGCAATGTGAGCAAATAAAAATAGATTTGATAAGATTTAGGGCAGTTTCTCTGCAGTGTTTCTGTTATACTCATATTATTTTTTGTAATAAAGTAACATTTTTTTAAGCAGAAAGAAAAGTATGAGTCCCATCTGTTCATTCCAGAGTGGAGGAAATGAGGTCCGGATCTGACAAGGAGCACGTGTGAACACTCGGGGCCCAAGCCACGCCGTTTAGTCACACTTACTCACACAGAGGTAGCGGCTTACACACCCACAGCTCCTAACCCCACACAAAATGGTTTCCTTCAGCTATTCTGCCATTCCCAAAGGCATAACCAGAACTGGTTGTGGGGACAGATGTTAGAATACACTTTAGGAGAAGAACCACCGAGATGATGCAACAAACGTGTATCAACCCACGGGAAACTAACTGCTGTTCCAAACGCTCTGTGACGTGCACAGGCAAGGTCACGGGCTGCTCTTCAGGAGTCCGTTGTGCCATGATGCAGACAGACACAAACAACCCGCATTGTGAGAAAGAACAGACGCAAAGTGAAACACGGACAAGGAACTCCCACGCGGCTCACTGAAGAAAAAGGCCAGGATCCAGGAAGCTTAAAGGAGGAGGACACGCTGTCCACACGGCAGAGCCACGCACACCACACACAGCTTGGGGAGGCGGCCTTTCAAGGGGAGCTGGCGAGACGGGCACGGGGCGGGGGCGGAGGCCAGTCCAAGCTCAGGAGAAGCCTGAGCGAAGGCAGGAAAGACAGCGTTCAGGGAGAGGGAATTCTCGGGTCCAGCCAAGACGGGGGGGGGGGGGGGGGGGGGGGGGGGGGGGGGGGGGGGGGCGGGAGGAGGGGGGGAGGTACGGGGGACCGGGCTGGAGACAGAGGCTGGCGAAGGCTGTAGATTAAGCTGACCCAAACTGAAGCATTTAACTCACGCTTCAGGATGGGGAATCCAGAAGAAGTCTGGAAATGAGCATGGAAAGAGACCAGAGGCACATGAAGACCTGAATGAGAAGACCGCGGGCGGGGAATGGAAACGAGAAGGGCACATCGGGAGAGGCTGCACAAGTCTCAGCACTGTCGCCTGTCGCTTTCTGATCCCTCACCAGGTGTAAGGCAGGAGGAGGGCCCAAATCATCATCATGCCATCCGGCTACTTTAACACTGCTGGTGTAGCTCATTACAAACTTTATTTTTCTGTTCATGTTTATCTGAGAGAGGAAGAGAGCAGGGGAGGGGCAGAGAGAGAGAGAGAGAGAGAGAGAGAATCCCAAGCAGGCTCCGTGCTGCCAGCACAGAGCTCCAGGAGGGGCTCGAACTCACAAGCTGTGAGATCCTGACCGGAGCTGAAATCAAGAGTTGGACGCTTAACCGACTGAGCCCCCCAGGCGCCCCTCATGTCAAACTTTAAGAGGAACTTCCCGTGCTCAGTACCTTCACTCTCCCAGGCCTGCAGCCGATCTTGGTCCCTGGTGGCGCTGCCCAGCACCTCTCGAGGGACCGGCTCCATGCGCGCATCCATTTTCTCCTGCTGAGACGACTGGTTAAATCCTTCGATGGCCTTCTGGAAAAAGAAGTTGAGCTCCTCAAAGTTCATGGCCTGGAGCTCCGCGTAGAGTTCTCCCTGCTGGGCTTCACCCAGCTCATTCCAGAACTGGAGCAGGTGTTCCTGTCCGGCTTCGGACAGCCTGACTTTGAGCTCGCTGACATTCATAGTGCTCGGGCGGCCAAGCCTGGCGAAGACAGAGGCGTAAGCTCCGCACCCGTAAGCCTACAAGAAAAAAAGGAATCGACAGCAGGTTGAAGTCCAACCTCAAAGCCGGAGGAGCTTTTCCTGCTACAAATAAGTACATTAAAAAACACTTGACGTTACAGAAGTTAACTTCTGCCTTCCCCTCACAAGATTTGTGACAGAGCCAGCTTGTAAAGGCATAAACAAAGAAGACATCCAGATGGCCAAGGGACACATGAAAAGATGCTCAGTATCACTCGTCATCAGGGAAACACCAATCAAAATTACAGTGAGATATCACCTCACGCCAGTCAGAGTGGCTAAAACAGCAAACCCAAGAAACACAACTGTTGGCAGGGGGGAGGGGAAACCTCATGCGCTGTTGGTGGGGATGCAAACTGGTGCGGCCGCTGTGGAAACGGTCTGGTGTTTCCCCAAAAAGTTAAAATGCAACTATGGCCCAGTAATCACACTCCGGTTATTTACCCAAAAAATACAAAAGCACTAATTCAAAGGGATACGTGCACCCTTATGTCTATTGCAGCATTCTCTACAACAGCCAGATTATGGAAGCAGCCCAAGTGTACAGATGAATGGATAAAGATGTGTGGTGTGCATGCGTCTGTGTATACATAAATATATACATAAATGTTACTTAGCCATAAAAAGAATGAAATCTCACCATGTGCAACGACATGGATGGAGGTAGAGAGTATAACGCTAAGTCCAATCAGTCAGTCGGAGAAAAACAAATATCGTATGATTTCCCTCATATGTGCAATTTAGGAAACAAAACAAGCACAGGGAAAAAAGGAGAAAGACAAACCGAGAAACAGGCTCTTTCTTCACTGTAGAGAACAAACTGATGGTTATCAGAGGGGAGGGGGCGAGGGGACGGATGAAACCGGTGATGGGGAGTAAGGAGAACACTTGTTGTGGGAGCCTGGGTGGCTCAGTCCGTTAAACATGTGACTGTGGCTCAGGTCATGATCTCGTGGTTCATGAGTTCGAGTCCTGCAACGGGGTCTCTACTGTCAGTGCAGGGTCTGCCTCAGACCCTCTGTCCCTCTCTCTCTCTCTCTCTGCCCTGTTCATCTTTCTTTCTCCCTCTCTCTCTCCCTCAAAATAAAACTCTAAAAAAAAAAAGAAAAGAAAAAGAAAAAGGAGTGCACTTGTCAGGATGAGCACTGAGTACTGTACAGAACTGCTGAATCACTGTATTTACGCCTGAAACTAATATGTTAACATGCATGTTAACTATACCGGAATTAAAATGTTTTTAGTTAAAAATAAATGAAAAACTTGTAAGACAATACCAATTAGTATAATATACCAAGTACCCCACCAAGAACTTTACCTCCGTGGTCTCATTTGATTTTCGCCGGCTCTCCGACACAGGTTCTGTTATCTCGATTACTTTACCAGGGAGGAGACGGAGGCCCAGAGAGGCAACACCACAGGGCCCACAGGCGGAGCAGGGCTGTGAGCCCAGGCAGTCCAATTCCAGGGCACACACTCTGACTGTCCCACTTAGCTGCCTCTGACCATGAGCACAACTGCAAGAACTACGACTTCTTACTACGTCAACTGTTCCCCTTTTAGCGCTCACGATGGAAACGATTCTGTTGTATTCAGGATACAACAAAATTCAAGACAGGACTATCTATAATCATGAAAAATACGTTTTCTTTCAGTAGCAACTTCTAGAGAATTTCTTTGCTAAGGAACTGACCCCTCAAGGGACAAGCAATACACACATATCAACAGATAAAACCAGGTAACATATGTAGCAAAACATTAAAGTGCACAGTACTAAAAGAATACAAGGAAGACAAAATATTTAGTCCAGTTGCCTACTATAGCTAAATGCAGGAGACGGTAGGTGCTGTCTACAAAGAGGTCACAGGAAGCATGATCAGCTGTGCCTCAAGGGCTCAGCAGATGGCAGATAAGATGAGAACACAAGCGAGGCAGGCGTGTGTGACAGAGAAGTAGGAAAGCTGAAGTTTTCTCCAGAATGATGGGAAGTGAAGGAGGGCAGGGCTAAACCATGAAAGCCTTGAAACCCTAGCAAAGGGAGACCTAACAGTGACAAGATGCCAACAGCAGATTACTCAAAGGGCAGTGTCACCAAACTTTAGAGAGAGAGAGAGCAATAGCATAAAATAGATTGTAAGGAGGGACAAGTAGACGTAGGAAAACAAGTTCAAAGACAATCACGGGGATGGAAGGCCAAAGAGCTGAATCAGATGGGTTGCAAAGGAATTAATAGTAAAAGGGAAGATTTGGGGATCGCTGTAAAGGATCATCACCCCTTCAGAAGTGCTTAGAAGTGAAAGACGGCAACAATAGGTACTGAAGAAACAACCTGCGATCTTCTACCCTTGGAACAGCGGTGGGTAACACACACGGGAGTTCAGAGCAACGTTCTGGAGTTCAGCTGAGCTACTTAATGTCCGCATGCCTCACCTGGAGCATCTATCTCATCAGGACTCTTAAACATCAGACACCATTGACAAAGTCAGATAAAGACAACCTACACATAGGGTTCCCTGAGGTGGCGATAATGCCACCTACTGCTCACATACCACCTACGGATGACAGTACGATTCGAATTGCTTTACAGATGCTCGTGCAGTTAATCCTCAACACAATGCTAAGGCATTGCTACCAGGGTTACTTTACAGAGGAAGGTCCTGCACCACAGAGATAACTTGCCTGGGGTCCTGAACTAGTCTAGTGAGTGAGCTTGGATTCAAACATTGATAACCTGATTCCTAAATTCACACTCTTAACTATTACTCTGTTATGCTACACTGCCTCTCGGGAGAAAGACTGCGTGTGTGTGTGTGTGTGTGTGTGTGTGTATAAGAGGGGAGTACCGAGAGAGCACATTATTGGTACTTTACTCAGAACACAGACAAAAATGACGTTCTGATATCTGACTCACTGTGCAGAAATGAGTTCACAAGCCAACCCCAGAGCCTGGAGAAAGAAAACGCGCAGGACAAGTTGCTGAGGAACTCCACAGGATGAGTAAAGACTTCAATTTTAAAAACAGTATTACATAAAAAGTCCCTGGTATTGGTCATCAGTACTAGGCGTGTTAACCCAAATCAGAAAATCCTCAGAAGTAATTTTAACCAGTGCCCACTCAAAAATACATTCAGGAAAGGTACTATCAACCCATAGAGACAGGCACATGGCTCCAATAACTTCTTCTTTTCATAAGGTGCCCTTTCCAAGCGAACTGAAAGACTGGCTTCCTGATTCTTCTTATAAAATCAACTTCAAGTTAGATTAGCACATAAGATTGAGTGACTTACATTCCCAACTTGTATTCTGGTTTTGTTATTTAGATTTCACTTCAGGGATATAATGCTTTAAGCGTGAAATGAATGGTTCTGCTTATGAAATGTACTTTATGAGTTACCAACGATTCCTAACGAAATTAAGGCTTCCATATGAAACAAAAATGAAACCTAATTATCAGCATGGGACACAGTTCTACCTGCTGTCGCCTAAGACCCTCATCCTTCCCTCCAAGTACTTCCTTTAGACTCCCGATGTACCGAAATCCCATTCATCCTTAAAGGCCTGCCTCACATACTCTAGCTTCAAGTAAATCTTTTTTGGGTAAGGAATCAAACAGAACTGACTTTTACTCTTGGCTCTATTGCTTGGATCAAGTTATAGATACTTTCAACTCTGTTATCTTCATCTGCAAAATGGGAATAACAAAATTTTCTTCACCGGGTTCAGAGGCATAAGTGAAATTACAACCAGTGAGACAATGAGGCTCAAAGAAATAAGTAATTTGCCTAAAGCTACTTACCTTGTAGGTAGAAAATCAGGAATTTTAACCCAGATAAACCTGACTCCGATGCCTATGGTCTTTCCATCAGACAATAATAACTCTCATACACAGAGGAAATACTAAGAATTCAACCCAAGGTCCCATTTAAGAGAGGCAGGATAGCTGGTGGAAACTGGCCTCTGGAGTCAGCCTGGCTGAGCTCAGACCCCAGCGTCATGATTTCCTAATTCAGTGACCTTGAACAAGTTACTTAACCTTTCTGTGCCTCAATTTTTCTCGTCTGTAAAATGAGGATAAAAACAGTACTTACATCTAAGCTTTAGAGGATTACTGAATTCAAATGAAAAGCATTTAAAACAGCACCTGACATGTAAATAAAACCCTCCATGAATGTCATCAGCTACTATTATCAAAGTGAAATTGTGCTCCAGACCACTGGGTTACAGTCTCCAGAACATGAGTAGTCGGGCACTGCAGGATGAAGAGAAGTTTGCCAAAAGCAGAAGCAGTAAAAGAAAATCCAGTCGGTGGGGAGAGCATGAGAAACGGTTCAGGTAAATAAAAGTATTCAAGGAACAAGGCATAGCGCTGGGAAATGGGCAGATGAGGCTGAACTTGGATCAGTGCTACTTCCGTTGAGGGACAGATGGTAAGCCTACTCCCACATGAACAGCTGGCTGCTGAAAGTCTCCTTCTCACATGCAAAGATACATCAACAATTTATGAAGGAACACTGTCTCACGGTCACGGCCATTATTAACTCACCGAATAGTGAATGAGCACTTCCTGTCTGCCGGGCACTGATGCAGGTGACAGAGACACAGCAACGCCCCAGGTGACAATGCGCAGGCCACATTCCAGAACAAGGGACAGGCATAAAACATCAGGCAGAAGAAGTGGGCTACGGGGTGAAAGCCCAACAGGGTGATGGTGGGTATTTTCAATGGGGTAGTTGGGGAGGGACTGAGACATGTGACAGTCCATATGCATGAAGAGAGAGCAAGCAAGTTAGAATCCTAGAGAGGAACATTCTAGGTACAGGAAGCTGTTGTGAGGCAGGAATGTGTGAAATGTGTACACACAACAGCAAGGTCAACGCAACTGGAGCAGAGAGAGCCCGAGTGACTCTAATTACAGCGGACGGATGGACATTGAGCAGATCGAGTAAGGCCTTTCGGTCCAAGTAGGGACTGTGGGGTTGGGGAAGCCATTAGAGAACGTGGAGATAGGATGCATCTAGTTCTGACTGAGGTTTCAGAAGGATCATGCCATTCTTATGTGGGGAAAAAAGACTAATGACAGCAAAAGTGGAAGCAAGCAGACGCAAGTGGTGTCTCAACCAGCTGGGCATCCGATTTCAGCTCAGGTCATGATCTTGCGGTTTGTGAGTTCGAGCCCACGTGGGGCTCTGTGCTGACAGTTCAGAGCCTGGACTCTGCTTTGTATTCTGTGTTTCCCTCGCTCTCTGTGCCTCCCCCATCCCCCAACTCATGCTCTCTCTCTCTCTCTCTCTCAAATAAATAAATATGAAAAAAAATTTTAAAAGAAACTACCATGATAGTCTAGATGAGATGACGTTGGCTTAGAGCAGTGGTGAAATGTGGATTCTAATCTTACAGGATTAGGTAATGGATGGAATGTGGAGACCAAGAGAAAGGTAGGAATCAAGCAAAGAGGACTCCCAGGTGGTGGTGCCATTTGCTGAAGTGGGGAAACAGGAGGACAGGGCAGGTTTAGGACCAGATGCCGAGACTGGGGGAGTCAATCCTTTGTTTCGGGTTCGAGGTGCCTATTAGACATCCAAATAGAAATGCTGATAAGACGGCAGAATGCAGTCATCTAAAGTTCCAGGGGTGATAATGGAGCTAAAGATAAAATTTCCAAGGTCATCAGCACACATGATATTAAGTTATCAAACAAATGAGATCCCTGGCAAGTGTAGGTGGATTGAAAAAAGAAGAAGAAGACTGAGCCTTGGATGCGCCTTAGGATACTGAATGGCGTTTCTATTGATTTACGAAGGTTTCAAGAGATATACCATTATTTTTTCATTAAAAAAAAAAACACATCATGTAGGGGCACTGGATGGCTCAGTCAGCTGAGCGTCTGACTTAGGCTCAGGTCATCAGGAGTTCGATCTGCCCTGACAGTGCCAGAGCCTGCTTGGGATTCTCTCTCTCTGCCCATCCCTTGCTCGCTCGCTCTCTCTCTCTCTCTCTCTCAAAATAAACTTTTAAGACTTTAAAGAAATACATCACATAAGGAAAAAAAAAAGAATTGAGAGAGATAATTTTGTATCAAACTATTTTCCAAGGAATGGGGGCCTTTCCTAAGGTCGCACCTATACTACCGTATTCAAAGGAGCCCCGGATTTAAAGGAACATATGGTAATGGGAAGGTCACCAGGGAACCATTTCACCAAAGACCTGGAAGTCTTAGTTCCTGGTCCCTCCCCACCATTTGACCCTGTGCAAATCATTCCACCTCCCTGTGTACACATTTCCTCATAAAACCTGCCTTCCGCACACACCCTCAAGTGGAGACAAATAGTGAGAACTCCGCCTACCAAAGCACATCCGCAAACATGGCATCATCACACTTTTAAGATACAAATCTTTTCTAAAAAGTCGCCAGAGACCCATCCGCCTTCAGATGCCTGGGAAAAATGGATCTATGCAAATAACACAACTATAGGTTAAATTTTCCCCCCACAGGTTAAACTTTGATCCCTGGCCTTAGACCACTGGTGGTCTGCAAAGGTTGACAAGGTCACATATGCTAAGTTACATAACTGTGTAAATGTCCCTAAGAAAACAACCACACTTGGGCTCTGAGTAAAAATAATTTATCTAGGGGTTTCCTTGAGGCAAAAAACAACCACAGAAAGAGTAGCACTGCTACCAATAATTCTGGTAAAAGAGAGGTGTGGATACGTGTGTAATGGTAAGCAGTCGTAAATACAAGAGTTAGATCAGGATTTTCATCTTGACAAGCAAAGTCTCAAAAAGTTAAGAATCTGCTGTCGAAATTAGGACAGAATCTGGTATATGCCCATGGCCTAATACATTTGCATCAAAAACCATGACAAATTTGGTAAAACTCTACCATTATCAAATATAACTTTATTAGAATTTAAATGCCAGTATTAAAGATATTCCCTCCCTTTCTGGTCTCCTTCCTGCCCCTATCTCTGCTGCTATATTACGGCCCCCCAAAATTGATAAGTAAACTTCTTAGACCTTTAGAAAAACAGTCTTGCATTTGAGCCAGAACCACTGAATCCTATAAATTCTTGGCAGCACAGCCGCCGAGGTCTTTCTTTTTTTTTTTTTTTTAAATGTTTTATTTATTTATTTCGAGGAGAGAGAGAGAGAGAGAGACAGCATGAGCAGGGGAGGGTCAGAGAGAGAGGGAGTGACAGACTCTGAAACAGGCTCCAGGCTCTGAGCTGGCAGTCCGCACAGAGCCCGACGCGGGGCTCGAACCCACAAACCGCGAGATCATGACCTGAGCGAAAGTCGGACGCTTAACCGACTAAGCCACCCGGGCGCCCCCGCCGAGGTCTTTCTTAATCCCAGCTAAGTGAGCCAACTCACCAACAGCCAGGGAACAGAAACTGCCTTCAGCTTCCTGTAAACCTTGGTCCACACCTAAGATTTTCACCTTAAAAGTCCTTAAACTAAAAACACTACCTAATGGCATCATATTATCACCATCACTGCTACCTGATGTCAGATTTCACAAACCAGGCACAAACAGACATAGAAGAGCCTCAGGCCAAACTTCACACAATCCTCAGGAAGCCGTCTGCTCAGCACATGTGTGCTCTCAGCCCTCCAATCCCGGCCCCCTGCTGGGCCAAGCCCGCGGAAACCCCGCAATCTCCATCCTCTCCCACTACCAGCATTAAAACCGGCCAAACCAGAAAGGGCAAGGGGGCTCTGTCCCCCTTTCACGTCCCCTCGCAGGTGTCTCCACTCCTCCCTGTCAACGCCCTCGGAATTCTCTCCCTCCGGTTCCCAGCGGACAGTTCCAACGACCGCTTGTCCCCACCCCGCGGTCCCCGAACTCGACGAACCTGCCCGCAAGGCCCCGGCCGGAGAACCTCAAGGCCCCCGCCCCCCATCCAGGTGAGGCCCGCTCCCCGCCGCTCGACAAACCCCCGACTGCACGCACTGCCCCATCCGGGTCCCCCTAACCCCCAGAGCCCGGGGACGCCCTCCCCAGCGGGGTCTCCGAGCACGGGGAGCGCCTGCGGGGCGCGCGGGGCCGGCCCCTCCGCCAGGGCCAGGTTCGGGCGCCGAGCACCGACGTGGCCGTGGGAGCGTGCGCGTGGCGGGCCCGGGCCCCCGGCGTCCCCTCCGGACTGGCGGGTGGCGGGGGAAGGAGACCCGACTGGGCGGGGAGCCCCTCACCTCCCTCGGCGTGATCGCAGTTCCGCCCGGCTCCGGCTCCCTCCGCGCGGCCACTCCTCGGCGTCCCGCGCCCGCTCCGAATATATACCCTCATCCGGGGGGACGGGGCGGCGGGGCGGGCCGCGAGCTGGCCCGGGGAGCACGGCCCCGGCCACCCCGCCCCTCTCTCGCAGCGACGAGTGGCTGCAGGCGCCCGGAGGAGCCGCCACCGCCCGCCGGGACACGTCAGCGCCGCCAGCGCTGGCGTTGACGCCGCGCCGAGGGGGCGGGGCCGTCCGGGGGCGGGGCCTCACGCGTCACTCATTCCCCGGCCCAATGGGGACGCCGCTGGGAGTCCGGTCCTCAGGCGGCCTCGCCCCTCGGCGCGCCGCGGGCGGGGAGAGGTGTGCGCAGCGTCAGCAGGGAGGGGCGTGGCCGGAGCCGGGGAGCTGTCGCTGCGGCCCCGCCCTCAGAGTCCTGGCGTCCCCGGCTAGTGGCGCGAGTTAGCGCCGGCGGCTCCTAGTCCACTCCTGGCCCGGCGGTTCGGCCGCACGCCGTTAGCAGAAGCGTATCGCGGAGCTGGGCGGAGAGCGGTGTCATCCAGCAGGTGGTGGATTTCCGACCGCCCGCGCGGAGGGTTGGACCCTGCAGGGCGGGCCTGGGGCGCGCTCCGACCTTGGACTGGCCTTGCTTCGTCTCGGCTTGGCCGGATGCCTGAAGGGCCCCGACTGCCTTTCTGCTTCGCGGCGTTTTAGGTCCCAAGCGCGGGAAGCCAGGCCCGCTTACTTTTTTGCACAAACAGTCACGAAAAGAGAGGAAGTGCAAGCACAGGTATTAATGAGAAGCGCTCCAGGGAGAATGAGCCCAGGCGTCCCTTTTGTGTGACGGTGGACTTAACCTCCCCAGTATTCTACACCAAGCTGTTGGTTGGCCGGGATGACCTTCAGGGCCACTACACGGCCACCGTTTGTAATGGCCTGTTGCGTACAGTCACGAGCCCTGTTGCATACCTGATGTGGACGTGCACGTGCAGTTCGAAAGCTCAGCACTTGACAGTCCTAAAAGCTGCGATTACATTTTGAGCTGCGTTGCACTTTGCCTGATTTTGCAAGAAGTCCAAATGTTGAAATGAAAAAAAAAAAAAAGATTTAACATAGCACCTTACATAAAGAATATCAGGCATTTGAGCATCTTTCTTTTACTTTATCAAGTGCCAGCGCCTTTTCAGTAACTATATCGTTTGCACAATCACCCACCGCATTAAGTAACTGAAGAGAGTAATGCTGGTAGATTCGTATTTAGGAGCTAGAATATTTTCCATTTGTCATGATCCCAGAACGTCATCCATTTATTTGAAAGATGTATAGTGTCGTGGTTAAGAGCAGGGGACCTGAAGACAAGATTCCAGCTTTTTTATTGAGCGTGATCTTTGGCAAGTTCATTAACTCATGCATCAATTTACTCGCCTATAAAATATAAACAATAGAAATGCCCTTAGGGTTGTTGTAAGGATTGAACCAGTGAATACAAGCAAAGAATGTAGACAGAGTAAATGAACACTAATAAACTGCAATGATTGTTATTTGAGTGTTTCCTCTATGTCAGTTGCTAGTTCTAGGTCCTGGATACCTTTGCATACTTCTCACCATTGCATCCTGTCGTTTGGATTCCCAGTACCATAAGGAACGTTACTCTCAAACCCTTCATAACTGAGAAGAACAAATTCACTCCCATTATTAATGTGCCCAGGTTCCACTTAAAGAGACCTAGAAGCCAATGACATAACTGAATATAGATAGCATTGTGACTTTAAATGAAAGGAAGAGAATTTACACAGTTGCTTTCTAAAAATATACTAATTGTCATGCGTCTGGGTGGCTCAGTCCTTTGACCACTGGACTTCGGCTTAGGTCATGATCTCCTGGGTTGTGAGTTCAAACCCCACATCAGGCTCTGTACTGACAGCTCAAATATAAATAAACATTTAAAATCATTAAAAATAAACATTAAAAAATTAAAAATATGCTAATTGTTATGTTACTCTTCCATTGTTACTCCCTGACAAATATAGGAGAGTTTAGAAAAATGCGAACTGGGAGATACAGATTCAAAATCACAGTTCAGGGGTGCCTGGGTGGCTCAGTTGGTTAAACATCCAACTTCAACTGGAGTCATGACCTCCTGGTCGGTGGGCCCCACATCAGGCTCTGTACTGACAGATCAGAGCCCGGAGCCTGCTTCAGATTCTGTGTCTCACTCTCTCACTGCCCCTCCCCTGTTCGCACTCTGTCTCTGTCTCTCTCTCTCTCACTCTCAAAAATAAATATTTAAAATATATATATAAATAAATCACAATTCAACCTCAGAGGCTGTGTGTCAGCTTAACAACTCTTAACCTCAATTTTCTGCTTATAAAATGAGGATAATACCTACTTCACAGGGGTGTAGTGCCAATTAAATGAGAAAGAATCTAAGAGTGGCTGGAATATGACAGGCATTTGATGAATGAATGAATAGAAAGCAAAATCATTATTAAAGAGTCCTTTAAATAGAAAAGGTAGCATTGAGGCCCAGCACAAGTGTTTTCAATGAACAATTGTAAAATCAAATTTTTACTTTTACCCTTTTTGCTCAATTTTTTTCCTAGTCACCATGCATAAGAAGGGCCTTAATCTCATCTTGCCAGATAAGTATCCAAAAACTTCTTACTCTGAAGAGCTATTTCTTTCCTTTAAGGTGTTCTTTGTATACAGCTGACCCTTGAACAAAGAGGTGGTAAGGGGCACCAACATCACAGGGAGCCAAAATCCACATTTGACATTTGACTCCCCAGAAACTTAATTAATTCAAGGTTCAACTGTACATGGTCATTAAGAGACAATGGCACCTAAATTAAAATGTCCAGAAGGGCATATAATAGAAGGTCTTCTGTTTGGGTCTTTTAGGGACAATGGGATTATAGTAGTTTTAATAATCTTTTGGATCCTTTTTGTTTGTTTGTTTTAAATTTCCCCAAATTTCTAAACTTTTTCTAAGTGTTTTTTAAACTTCTAAAGTGAAAATCATTTGATAATTAGAAGCGTATACATTTCTTTTAATTTCAGAAAAGCGGGCATGCTACTTAACAACTAAAAGATCCCACTTGTTTTTTGCACACTTGTGTGGGACATGGGCCCGTCTGTCCACGCTTTCCTGTGTAGTACGACCAAGGACCAGCCACCCAGGTTTTTCAAACAGTGGACTGGTGTCAGTGGGGCGCCTCCAAAGGGGTCCTCCCTTCATCTCTCCAAATGCGAGGGGCTGAGGTAGGTCACTGAACTTCCAGAGGACCCGGATTCCTTCCCAGAAGTACATCCAATCACCAAGAGAGTCTGGCTCAAAGAAAGATTCCGTAAAGTAGGCCTGAGCATTCATGAGATCACTGTTTCCAAGAGACTGACTAGATGGGTGGTGGAGGGATTAGGGCTTTGACTTTCCTATTGACAGCTTCCTATGACATGAGTACTCGGTCCCCCAGGAAATCATCCCGACCGACTTAGCTCACCACGCCTCCCAAGCCCTAACTTTTCTGTAGCACAGGGTGTGTTTCAAAATATGGTGAAATAACAGATACATCCTATTCGATGACACTTTTTTTTTTTTTTTTTTACTGAATGTACAGCCCTTCAAAACCAACTGCAGTCGAGGAAGTACAAAATAACAGGTGGATTGAGCCCCAGGGAAAGTAAACAAGGGAGTGTTGGTGTGCCTAAGTATGGAGACACAACTTTGGGACTCCACATCGAGTAGGTGTGTATGATGTCTGAGAGCGGACTTGACATTCCATTGCCATGGAGTAGCTAGAGATTAGCCATCTGCTGGCTAGAGATTATCCGGGGCACCTCCCTTAATTCACAGATAAGGAAACCAAATCTCCCAAAAGTGAAGTTGTTTCCCTAAGGACTGAATAGAATAAATAGGGGGCGCCTGGGTGGCTCAGTTGGTTAAGCATCCGACTTCGGCTCAGGTCATGATCTTGTGGTTTGTGAGTTCGAGCACCGTATCTGGCTCTGTGCTGACAGTTCCAGATTCTTTGTCTCCCTCTCTCTCTGTCATCCCCAGCTCGCGTTCTGCCTCTGTCTCTCTCTTTCTCTCTCTGTCTCTCAAATAAATAAACATAAAAAAAAGAAGAGAATAAATAGGTAATTAAGAAGTAGAAGCAAGATTAGAAGTCAGCCATCTCTTGCTATGTAACAATATAAACACCTCACTACCATTAGAAGCCCTGGGTCAAATATTTAATGTCTACTTTGGGGAGTCCATTTGCCGGGATCTTTCTGATACACAGTTGTACTATCCCCAGGGGAAATTCCTCAGAAACCTAACCTGGAGTGGCTTCTGACCTACACTGAAACCAGAGCCATAACATATTTTGTTCCTAATCTGCCCCACACACACACACCGCCTTCACCTATGGCTTGATGACGTTTAACACCACGGTTTGTCAGATGTAAATGATTTTTCATAATGTGGCTTCTCGGCCCTACTGGTGAGTGCAGCATGTTTGGATTTACTGTGCATTTTGTCTCTCGGGCTTCTGAACTCACCATGCAGGACACACACAAGGTCCATCACAAGCTATTAGTGCTGGAGATACATCCTATCACCTATTCCTTCTTTAGGAATCTACATTGGATGAAATTTGCTTTATATTTCCCAGGTAAATAAGGAAAAGATAAAAGTGGGACGTCGCCTCCAAGAAATCTCAGGCACAGCAACAGTCTCTCCACATTTTTTTGGTCCCAGGCTCCACAACTCCATTTGGCCTGCGTGACTTTATGTTAATAGAAGACCCTACAGCTCAATGAAAGTCTCTGACAGCGCCAAATGGCTTGGCCTAGAAATGGAGTTACAAAAATATAGACTCAAAACTTACATAAGGCAGGAGGCGCCTGGGTGCCTCAGTCAGTTGAGCGTCCAACTTCGGCTCAGGTCAAGATCTCATAGTCTGTGAATTCAAGCCCCACGTCAGGCTCTGTGCTGACAGCTCAGAACATGAAACCTGCTTCAAGTTCTATCTCTCTCTCTGCCCCTCCCCCACTCGTGCTCACTCTCTCTCTCTCTCAAAAATAAATAAACATTTAAAAACAGTTTTAAAAAACTTACTTGGGTTCTCTGAGCTGCTGGGTAATTATCTCCTGTGTCATTGACTCATTGACTTTGTTTTTGACTCAACATAATAGAGAAGAGTATGGAT